TAAGTTAATGGTTGATTGAGCGTGGGCCCCCATTTTTTCCCTCCGCTTCTTCAACCCGAGCTATTGCTTGTCCCACATCATTATGTAATGATAATTAACGTTATTTCCTTCTTCATGGAGTGCTCTAATTTTTCAAACATTTCCACGATTTCCATTTTTGTGGGCAGATGGGTCTTTGCTCCTTGTTCTGCCATTATTTCTATTACACTTTCTGTAATTATAGGATCTTTTAATCTGGCTCCCATGCACATGACAGTCTAGTTTGATCTCCGTCGTACTTTTTTATTCACTTCATGTTGTTTCTCTAGAGTTTGGTCCTCTGGGCTTTTTTCCTGCGGGGGCATATACTTTCTTATTGTACTTGTACTTGTATTTGCTCTTGATTAAGGAGTTTTTATTCCACCCCTTTGGCAAATCTGCCTTCATATCCTTATGACTTTACAGCTGATTTTGTGACACCTAAACAATTATCTGCAATGTTACTGTCCTTGAGTAGATTTCAGGGGTGGATTTATCTTTCCTGTTTCACCAAGAGTTTGGCAGATATAATAGTACGGTTTTTGGTCTCCTCACCCTTCGCCCCCTTTTAGAATTTTCCTGTTTTTCTTTTTCCTTTTCTTTTCCCTTTTACTCTTTTTGAGCCTTTTAGAGACTTTTAAAGATTTACATTCACCAAGCGTTTACTCTTTCCTCCTCTTCTAGAGTCCCTGGGTGGCTCCTACTGTCTGCTTCTAAGTTTCTTATACACAGGAAACCAATTTTTCAACAGATCTTCTATAGTCCTGATCAGCCCCTGAGACCACCAAACAGGAATCTTTCCACATACTGTTCAATCAGGCAATAAGGAAAAGTACAACAGTACTTTGTGGGTTTGCCTCCTCCCTGCGGCAACTTGCCATCCCTGAGTCCGTTGTGTGGTGCCGCTCATAACCTGTTTATTCCCCCATTTGAGGCGGGCTTTCCAGTCACTTATGGGTTTGCTTCTGGGAGATCGGGATTCTCAGTGTGTCTCTGGCGGTGTGTTGGGGGCCACCCTTCGTGCAAGCCGCTGACTCTTCCTCCACTATGTTGCTCTGAACTCACTGAATCCTATCCGCTGTCACATGGGTGCTGCCAGCACCCCCCGATCCTCCTCGGACTGTCACCTCCTCTTGACCAGCCAGGAGGCAACATGCTCCTACGAGCCCCGACTCCCTTCGATCGCCGAGGGACACCCACCAGGCGGCACATCTGTGGGCACTGAGCTCCCCACTCGCCTTGTCAGGTTGTGTTCGAGTCAGACCTTTCCCTTCATGTTACATGGCGGGCGTCTGGAGCTCCTAGAACATGCATCCTCTTGGCACCGTGTTCAGGCCCCTCCCTCTCACCACCTGCTTTAAGCCCTTGGACCCCGCGGAAGCATGCAGTTGCAGGGCACTTGCAGAGCGGCCATTTACTTGAATGGGTGTAATTCCTGCTGCGGCATGTGTACACCTTCGGCTGCTGTGAAGCACACCGCCCCCTGTTAAAACACTCACACAGTTAACCCCTTCCTCCCCAGTGCCATCAGTCAGTACAGTGTCGGTTTTTTTTTTTTTTTTTTTTGCACTGATACTGTATTGGTGTCACTGGGAATGTCAGTGAGCCCAAGTCAGTTACCCCCAGTGTTAGAATGTCCACCGTAGTCCCATAAGTCGCTGATCGCCACCATTATTAGATTATAAAAAAAATAAATTCCAGTATTTATACCGCCATTTGTAAATGCTATAACTTTCATGTAAACTAATTAATTTACATGTATTGGGATTTTTTTTTTTTTTCTTCAGCAAAGATGTTGCAGAATACATTTTGGCCTAAATTCATGACAAAATTTGATTGATTTTTCTTTTTTTTTTTTTTTTTTTTTTTTTTTTTTTTTTAACTGGACATGTTTTTTATAGCAAAGTCCAAAATATTGTTTGCTTTTCTCAAAATTGTCTTTTTTTTTTTTTTTTTTTTTTTTTTCCTAGTGCAAAAAATAAATGCACAGGCGATCAAATACCACCGTAGGAAGCTCAATTCGTGGAGGCGTAAAGGGCGTAAATTTAATTTGGGTGCAGTGTTGCATGACCGCGCAATTGTCAGTTAAAGTAACGTAGCGCCGTAACACAAACCCTTTCTGTAACCGCTTCCTGACCGCCCTATAGCAGAAATACTGCTACAGGGCGGCACGGGTGCGCAAAATCGTGTGTGTGTGTGTGTGTATATAGGTGATTTGTGCTCCCATGGTTATCCCGCCCCTCCCAGATAGCGGCAGATTGCCCGTCAGTACACCAGTTATCACATTTAACCCCTTGATTGCCAGGGACACGCTCATACACAATAAACCATCCAGTATAGTGTCTGAACGGAGCAATATCTTTGATCAGATCAGCACTATACCAGCGTTCACATTAGTATAGTGTCCCCAAAAACGCAGCATTAGCGGGATCAGCCCCGGCACCTGTGTTTAGCCCCTACGCTTACCCCCCCCCCTTCTCCCTTAGCAAGTGCAGTGTCAGTAGGTCACTATCACTTGATACATTGCACACAAAACCGCTGTGTTTGCAGAATCAGCACCCTTACTAACCACATTCACTGTCCAACCCGGAATTCAGGTGGAAACCGCAAATTTAACTACTCCCCTTGATTTTTTGAAGCTGATTTTCACGGAAGATTTGTATGCGTTGATTTTGGATCAAAGCAATTTATATGCACAAGTTATCGCCGCAACCCAAATTTAAAATAAAATTAATTGCTGTTTTATTGGTCCACAGACCCGATTCATCTTATGTCCATTTTCTGCTGCCATGGCCAGGCATAGATATGAGAGTATAATGTGTTTTTATGCATTTCAATGACAATACACTCTGTTGTCCTTGGGGCGACCCTGAATTTGACCGGCTCCACAAAATTTGGCCCCTCGTAAATCACCTTAAACAAAAATTTGCAGATGTCTATGCTCCCCAGCAAAACATCTGCGTTGTTGAGTCCCTCATTAATTTTTCTGGCCGCCTTGCATTCAATCAATTTCTTCCCAGCAAGTGTGCCAGATATGGGGTCAAGATGTATAAGACCTGTGAGAGGGCAACAGGCTATACATATAAGTTTCAGATTTACGAAGGAAAATATAGTCACATGGAGCCCCCCGGATGCCCAGACTACATGAGGTGCAGTGGCAAGATAGTTTGGGACTTGGTGTCATCCTTTTTTTCATATGGGGTACCAATTATACATAGACAATTTTTTTTTATTCTAGCGTGCCACTATTTAGACATTTGTACAATCTTGAAATTGGCACATGTGGCACCATGTGACCTAATGTGTGCCCACCATTAGAAGTGAGTGGGTGCAGGGCGTTCTAATGGTGGGCATACCACAAACCTTTACTGACAGATTTCTTCCCTTTTTTTTTTTTTTCATTCAGCCCACAGGCTGCATACAAAAAAAAAAAAAAGAATGGCATATATACCCAACAAGGACCAGTGATGTACTGGTACATCACTGGACTTTGGTTATACAAGGATGATGTCTACAGCTGCAGGTATCATCCTGGTATCGTTTTTTTTCAGCCAGAGATCGGCTTTCATGTAAAAGCAATCCTAGTGGTTAATTAGTTGCAGGATTGCTTTTACAAGCAGCGGGAGACTATGACCCCCTCCCCCGTTGCCTTCCACTGCCTTCTTGGACAGTCCCGTGCCATTAGGGCAATCTGAGAATGCAGCTGGTGTTTCTGCCAGATAACCATATTGCTGATTGTAGACCAGAATGGTGCCAATCATCTCTATAGTCTAAGAAATTTGAAGGTACAAACATTACATCGTTTCAGTTTCGCAGGATATAAACCGCCATTTGTAAATTGGGAAAGCATCTGATCACACCGATCTTAGTAAGGGCAGAGAAGATATATCTAGAGTCTGATAGACCCCAGATTTCTCAAAAAAGAATGACAATGGCCATTGAAGTTATAGGGGATATTTTCATTCCCTGTGATAGCATTAAAAGGAATAAAAAGAAAAAGGGACAGTGTAAAAATAATTACAAAAATCAAAATAACTGTGCACACGAGTGTTGACCCTGTGCCGGTATGTAAACAGAGGTTGCACCATACATGTGAGGTATCTCCGCGAACGTCAGATCAAGGGCAGTAATACTAGCACTAGACTTCCTCTGTAAAACTAAAATCGTAACTTGTAAAGGCTTTTAAAACATTTCCTATGGATATTAAAAATGTATGCAGTTTGTCGCCATTGCACAGGGCATGCGCAGTTTTAAAGCATGTCATGTTTGGTTTCCATTTACTCGGCATACCATCATCTTTTATATTTTACCAAATAATTAGCCAATATATTGTGTTTTTGTGCATTAAAAGTAAAGTGTTTTTTGCAAAAAATTTGCGTTTGAAAAAATTTCTGTGCGTGTACTATGTGACAAAAAATTGCAGCACCCACCATTATATTCACTAGGGTGTCTGCTTTAAAAAAAAATGTTTGGGGGGTTCAAAGTAATTTCCTAGCAAAAAATACTGATTTTGTTCCATTAAAAAAAAAAAAAAGTGTCAGAAAAGGCTTGGCCTTAAGGTGGTTAGAAGAGAATAATGTGTGACATAAACTTCTAATGCTGGGCATAAAATGCCCCCACCCCCTGAAACTACCTCTTTTTGGAATGTAGACACCCCAAACTATTTGCTGAGAGGCATGTTGAGTCAATAGAAGAATTTTATTTTTTTTACCACAAGTTTTTGGAAAATGACACACACATTTTTTTTTCTTTACACAAAATGGTCTCTTAACTACCTGCCGACCGCAGATAGCCGAATGACGGCTTCACTGCGGCCGGCCAGTTCTGAGTGGACGTCATATGACGTCCTCCAAGAACGCGCTTTGGGGCGCGCATCGGGCGATCTCCGTGATCGCTGTGTCCTACAGACACAGCTGATCACGTGATGTGGTAAAAGGCCAATCACAGCGGCCTTTTACCACGTGATCAGCGGTGTCCAATGACACGCTGATCAGAGGGAAATGCAAGTGCCGGTTCTCGGCTGCACTTTCCTCACGCTGTCAGATCGTGAGGAAAGTACTGCCGAGAACCGGCAGTTGTCAGTGCGGGGATCGGCACCGAGCATCAGGGCACTGATGATCAGTGCCCTGATGATCGGTGCCCAGCAGTGCCACCCGCAAGTTCCGCCCACCTGTGCCCAGCAGTGCGCCCCTAGCTCCGCCCTAGCTCCGCCCAGCAGTGCACCCACCTGTGCCACTCTGCAGTGCCGCCCACCAGTGCCACCCACCAGTGCAGCCCAGCAGTGCCGCCAGTCAGTGCCCAGGGGTTGTGCCAGTCAGTGCCACCAGTCAGTACCCATCAGTGTCACCTATCAGTGCCGCCTATCAGTGCTGCATATTAGTGCCGCCTATCCGTGACACCTCATTAGTGCTGTCTATCAGTGCCGCCTATCCGTGCCACCTCATTAGTACTGCCTATCAGTGCCCTTTAGTAGTGCCCATCAGTGCCGCCTATCAGTGCCGCCTATCAGTGCCCATCAGTGCTGCCTCATCAACGCACATCAGTGAAGGAGAAAAAATACCTGTTTGAAAAATTTTATAATAGAAACAAAGAACTTTTTTTTTTTTTTTTCACATTTTTTGCACTTTTTTTTTTATTTATAGCGCAAAAAGTAAAGCGCCCAGTGGCGATTAAATACCACCAAAAGAAAGCTCTATTTGTGAGAAAAAAATGATCAAAATTTCATATGGGTACAATGTTGCATGACTGCGCAATTGTCAATCAAAGTGCGGCAGCGCTGAAAGCTGAAAATTGGCCTGGTAAATAAGGGGGTATAAGTGCCTGGTAGGAAAGTGGTTAAATGATCTTTATTGCTCACACATGGCATAGGTATATGTGGGATTACTCTCCAAAATATAATTCTGCTACTTCTCTCGAGTATGGGGATACCACATGTGAGAGACTTTTTGGCAGTTTAGCCAAGTACAGGACCCAAAAATCCAGTAAGCGCCTTCAGACTTTTAAAAGGGATTTTATTTCCTCATTACACTTGATGACTATCACAGTTTTGGAGGCCCTGAAATTAACCCCCCCCCCCTTCCCAACCCAAATGACCCCTGTTTGGAAAGTAGACACCCAAAAGAATTTGATAAGAAGCACGGTGAGTATTTTGCAGATCTCATTTGTTGCCACAAGTTTTTGGAAAATGAAAAGAAAACAAAAACATTTTTTTCTTTTCTTCTTTTATATTTCAAAAATGAGATCTGCAAAATACTCATGAAGCCTCTTTTTAAATTCCTTGGGGTGTCTACTTACTTACCAAAAAGGGATTTTTCATGCTCCCAAAAAGTCTCACATGTGGTATCCCCATACTCGGTAGAAGTTGTTTTGGGATGTAAATCAACATATACCCATGGCTTGTGCAAGAAATATATAAATGACAACTTTGTGTGTAAAAAAAAAAAAAAAAAAAAAAAAAAAAAAAGTCATTTTCCAAAAACTTGTGAAAAAAAAAAAATCTTCCATGGACTAAATATCCCTCTCAGCAGATGGCTTAGGGTGTCTACTTTCCAAAAAGGGGTAATTTGGGGGTGTCTGTACTATCCTGGTATTTTAGCACATCAAGAAATGTGATGAGCAGTCAAAGTAAAAGCTGTGTAAATTCCACCATCTATACCATAGATCAGGCATGTCCAAAGTCCGGCCCGCGGGCCATTTACGGCCCGAGGGTCAGTTTAATACGGCCCTCCATGTCAGTGTGTCTTATGGAGCGAATATGGAGCGGCCGGTCCGGTATTTCCACCGCGGCCGTGTCAGAATACCGGGCCGGCCGCTCAGCTCTGCAGCGGGACCTTACCTGTTCCTCTATCCAGCGGCGCGCTGTCTTCCCGGCTTCTGTAGTGTGGGCGCTGGGCATGACAGCCGGGTGCCAAGTGCGCATGCGCAAGAAGCGGTGCTTTTTGTGAATGGTAAAGCGGTACCTGGGACACGTGACAGATCCCAGAAGCCGCCGGACCAATCACAAAGCGCAAGTGCTTCTCGCTCATGCGCACTGGGCACCCGGCTGTCATGCCGAGCGCCATTACAGAAGCCGGGAAGACAGCGCGCGGCTGGATCAAGGAACAGGTAAGATCAAAGAACAACTGCGGAAGTAAGAGCGGGTACCTGTCAAATTCAGGTACCCGCTCCCCACCTCCCCAAAGGTCAGCAGTCATCTGTGCTGTCCGCAGTCCCTCTGGTCATCCCTGTGCTGTCCGCAGTCTCTGGTCATCCCTGTGCTGTCCGCAGTCTCTGGTCATCCCTGTGCTGTGTCCGCAGTCTCTGGTCATCCCTGTGCTGTGTCCGCAGTCTCTGGTCATCCCTGTGCTGTGTCCGCAGTCTCTGGTCATCCCTGTGCTGTGTCCGCAGTCTCTGGTCATCCCTGTGCTGTCCGCAGTCTCTGGTTCATCCCTGTGCTGTGTCCGCAGTCTCTGGTTCATCCCTGTGCTGTGTCCGCAGTCTCTGGTTCATCCCTGTGCTGTGTCCGCAGTCTCTGGTTCATCCCTGTGCTGTGTCCGCAGTCTCTGGTCATCCCTGTGCTGTGTCCGCAGTCTCTGGTCATCCCTGTGCTGTGTCCGCAGTCTCTGGTCATCCCTGTGCTGTGTCCGCAGTCTCTGGTTCATCCCTGTGCTGTGTCCGCAGTCTCTGGTTCATCCCTGTGCTGTGTCCGCAGTCTCTGGTTCATCCCTGTGCTGTGTCCGCAGTCTCTGGTCATCCCTGTGCTGTGTCCGCAGTCTCTGGTTCATCCCTGTGCTGTGTCCGCAGTCTCTGGTTCATCCCTGTGCTGTGTCCGCAGTCTCTGGTCATCCCTGTGCTGTGTCCGCAGTCTCTGGTCATCCCTGTGCTGTGTCCGCAGTCTCTGGTCATCCCTGTGCTGTGTCCGCAGTCTCTGGTCATCCCTGTGCTGTGTCCGCAGTCCATCCCCTGTGCTGTGTCCGCAGTCTCTGGTCATCCCTGTGCTGTGTCCGCAGTCTCTGGTCATCCCTGTGCTGTGTCCCGCAGTCTCTGGTCATCCCTGTGCTGTGTCCGCAGTCTCTGGTCATCCCTGTGCTGTGTCCCGCAGTCTCTGGTCATCCCTGTGCTGTGTCCGCAGTCTCTGGTCATCCCTGTGCTGTGTCCGCAGTATGGTCTCTGGTCATCCCTGTGCTGTGTCCGCAGTCTCTGGTCATCCCTGTGCTGTGTCTGCAGTATTAGTTCAGAATTTTTTTTTTTTTCCTGTTTTCTGCCTATAAAACCTAGGTGCGTCTTATGGTCAGGTGCGTCTTATACGGCGAAAAATACGGTAACTTGGCATAAAATAATTTATTTGCATTTAATTGTAATGGTTCAAAGAATGTTTGGAAAAATGTTCGGCCCTCCACCATGTTCACTTCATCCAATCTGGCCCTCTTTGAAAAAAGTTTGGACACCCCTGCCATAGATTGTAGATGCTATAACTTTTACACAAAGCAATCAATATACACTTATTGGGATTTTTTTTTAACCAAAAACATTAGCAGAATACATTTTGGCCTAAATTTATGATGAAATTTGAGTTTTTTGGATGTTTTTTATGACCGAAATGAAAAAATATTGTTAAAAAAAAATTCGAATTTTTTTGAGTTCATAGCGCCAAAAATAAGCGCACAGGTGATCAAATACCACCAAAAGAAATCTCTATTTGTGTGAAAAAAAGGACTTAAATTTCATTTGGGTTCAGCATTGCATGACCGCGCAATTATCAGTTGAAATAGTGCAGCGCTGAATAGCAAAAAGAGGGCTGGTCATTAAGGGGGGTAAATCCTCAGAATGGCAAGTGGTTTAAAAGAGAAGTAAGAGCTTTGGCTGTACATCTTTTAATAATAATAAAAAAAAAAATGTACCATCAGGTGATATGCCTGTCACTTTTCTATGCAGTGAAAATATGGCTAAGGGTGGGCTCACACTACCTGCAGACATGTTTGTTTCAACCTTTTTTTTTTTTTTTTTTTTTTGCTCCCCCCCCGCTAAACGTTAATGGATTGTCACGAAATGACAGTTTGTATTTATGCATGGCAACTCAGCTTCTGTACATGGAAATGCAAGGAGACACCGACAGCTGTGGAGCAGTATTGAAAATGATACATGTCTGCATTTTCTTGCACTGCTATGTCCCACAGTGTGGAAGTTGTAATGGGCCACACAGAAAACCATTGCTTCTACAGATAAACGCAGCTCTCTGCTATAGTGTGAACCTGCCCTATATCATAGGATTGGCTTTGGTCAGGTAAAAACAGTAAGCATACACTGATCAGCATTAAAGTGATACTAAAGTATTGTCTTTTTTGTGTTTGTTTTTTGTGGAAATGAGGAAAGATTATAGAGGAACTGAATTTTTTTTCTCTTGAGAAGAGGAGATTAAGGGGGGATATGATCAACATGTATAAATACATCCGTGGTTCATATAGTGAACTTGGTGTAGAGTTATTCATCCTGAGGTTATCACAAAGGACAAGGGGCACTCTACATCTGGAGGAAAAGAAATTTAATCTCCAAATATGGAAAGGTTTCTTCACAGTGAGAGCTGTGGAAAATGTGGAATAGACTCCCTTAAGAGTTTGGTTCTGTCCAGCTCAGTAGATTGCTTTAAGAAAGGCCTGGATTGTTTCCTAGATACACAGAATATGACTGGATACTAACATTTATAGGTAAAGTTAATCCATGGAATATCTGAGCAAATTGGACCATGCTTTGCTGGGTTTTTTGCCTTCCTCTGGATCAATTGTGTGTATAGGATCACAACTTATTTATTTTTATTGTTGATCTAGATTGACTTTTGTCTTTTTTTTTTTTTCTTCAGCCAGACTAACTATGTAACTATGTAAAGTCGCTCAGATCCTTCCAATTGCCCTTTTTTTTTTTTTTTCTGCTTTCAACACACCAACTTCAGGGATAACATGTTCTTTTGCTGTCTAATATATCCTACCCATTTTCATATGACATTGTAATGAGGTATTCGGTGGTACTCACTTTACCTCACTTTGTCAGTGGTCATGTTATGGCTGATTGGTGTATATGTCTTTCAAATGTGCACTTTTTACCTAGAGGTTAACTGTTGGTAATAACTTGATTTTTGCTTGTTCTAAGTCAGTGTGTTACTAAAGGAAAATAGGTTGTGTACTTTTCAATTGCAGTTGCACTCATTTTCATCAGAGGTTAGTGAATGTGGTAAAGCTTCACTAAAGAAACAGTACGCATACTGGTGCAAGGAAAATAAAAACATCCTTTTTGCTTTCACATAATTGGATGATAAAAA